TTTTTTCTTGGACAAAGTCATTATTTGTTCTCTAAAACACTGGTCGACAATAACAAAATCAATACAAATTCAAAATAAATATTTGTTTACGTTATTAACGCATGCGCAATGAGAGATAATGTCTGCGTTGGACCGACTGCTCACGCTGAGCTAACAAACCAGTATTTTTTTGGCGTCAGCTCTACGTCAACTTTCCGCTGACGCCCAGATAAGGCGCTTGTCCTAAGAAACCAGACCTTTAGGCAAACAAGACGTTGAATCATTAGCATAGGGCAGTGTTTCCCAAACTTACGACTTTTGCGTACCCTTTCTAAGTTCTTTGTAACGCTATGTACCACTATTAGAAAAATTAATGTATTTTCTAAAAAAATGCTTACTTTTCATTTTTGTTACAAAATTTTCGGTAAAAAATTCTCAAATTTTTGTAAAAAATTCTATGTTGCAGTGATAAAAACTATATTTTAAAGAATAATCTAAATAAGTAGAATTTATTACAAACCTTTACTATAAAAAAATTGCAAAAAAGTTAAAAATCAAAACTGGCTGTTGAACCACTAATTATTAACTGTTAACTCTGCAAAAATAGCCAAAAGAAAAATACGTAATCGCATGAACGTAAAGCATCATGGTTGCTTTTGATTTTAAATAAAAAAAATTTAAATTTTCGGTTGTTGCAAGATAATTCGCATAAGAACGCGTACCCCCACTAAACTGCTCCCGTACCCCTGGGGGTACGCGTACCACACTTTGGGAAACACTGGCATAGGGAGATAAAGCTAGAAACTATCTCCACTGAACTCAAATAAACATTTGTTTATTTATTTTATTTTTTATTAAAATACTCGAAGGTTGCATGGTTATTTTTTTATCACGTAGTTTATTTTTATATAAGCAACATTAAGCGGTCCGTGATTTTGTCCATTACCCTTATTAAATTATTTTAGGATTAGCTGTTCCAGATTCTAGCAAACCACCCCTCTTACTTTTAGAATCAAGAATAAAAGAATCATAAAAAAAGAGATTTTTTTAAAAAAAGGAGCTATTAAGTACTTTATATTTTTAGATTATTTAATCTTCTGAACTAATATACTCTCTGAACTAATCAGAGGTAGAAACTTTGAAGATGCATTTTACCTCATGAAAATGCCATCACTATTTCACTAACCTATCCTCCTAGCACCTCAAGTTACAATAACCTCAATGTAATCATTTAAAGCGAAATGCTCGTGGAAAAGAATAAAAGCATTCATAAGAAAGTAACATCGATTCCCATATCTTCAAACAATTGAATATTATTACCATAAAATAGGTAGAAACAATGGAATGTTTCCGTTGGTTGCAAGTTTTAGGAGAACTTAAAAACAAAATAAAGTCTATGTTCTATAAAATAAAAATAAGAATCTAAAAAAAATTCATAAAAATAATCCAACGTATAACGAAACTCTCATTCTATGAAAGCTAAATCGGTATCATTTCGCAACAGCAAGCTAAATATAAAAATAAAAACCGTAACTGCAAAATATTCGTCATTTATTTTTCAAATTCAATCTTAACTATTTTTTTTTTCTTTATTTATTTTCATTTTTATTCCGTTTCATTCGGAGTTGATGCTTTTTTTTCTTCAAGATTTACAAAGCGAGATCAGATCCGGTGTTGCAACTTCGAGAAATGAAGAATCGCTTTAGAACTTTTTATTTTGAACAAAATAATGATTTTGTAATTTTCTCGCAAGTAGTAATTCAAATAATTAATCCATGATATTTCTCAGAAATCGATAGATGCGTGCCTCGATCTTTTTCAACAACTATTTGATTTTCAGAACTTCTCCAAAAAGGTGGCTTACCACCTATTTTGTAAGTACAGATTTTAGTATTTATATTTAGATTTTATATTTAGATTTTAGTATATTATATTTTGATTTTTGAATTTAGTATATTATATTTTAGTATTTATATTTAGATTTTAGTATTATTTATATTTTTTGGCTCATTTTTATTTCTTATTAAGAAGGAAAAACGTTTAGATTAATATTAATATGAAAATAAGGAACGTTTAACTAATTACTATAGTGAATAGCATGATAAATAACAATAATTATGTTTATGAACATCAATGAGTTAAATCTAAAAAAGGTGCTTTTTTTGTTCTAATTATAATTATTGAAAGCTATAAAATAAAAGAATTTGTGTTTATGAACTCCAATGAATTAAACCTAAAAAAAGAAGTTTCTTCTCATCATAGGCGTAGCGTGAAAAAAAAAAACTTTTTTTCGGGAATTTATTTTTAGAATCTGCTATATTTTTTTAAAAAGAAAAGTTGATGTAAATAGGTAACCTCTAGATTTCAGAAACATTTTTATTTTACAATGATAAATTTAATAAAAAGAAAACGAAATAAATTGTGAACATTTCTGATTAAAATTTTATTATGAATTAAATAGTGAATCAGAAAATATAACAATTCGGCAAATATTCATCACATTCTAAATTT